CATCACGCACTGCGCGTAGGGCACCAAGTGCTTGGGGGGGCACCAAAAAATCTGGGTCGTGAAAAATCATCACAATAGGCTACTAGTATAAATAACAAATAAAATATGTCTAAAGCATGTTAATATACAAAAGCAATACAAAAGTAATATAGGCCTAGACCAAATTAGTCGAGAAAAAGGTGAATCTCCTGTGCCAGTCTCCCTCTGGTGCCCCCCCTTCCCCACCTCCCAGTGGTCTGTTCGATTATGCCTCAATCAATGTAAAATTTGGCAGACACCGACCTCAGACATGGCCTCGAAAAGGCACCAAGAGTCGGGAGCGGAAAAAAGGAAAAAGAAGAGACAGCGGGATGATACTCGCGCGTCGCTTGCAGGTAGACAATATTTTAAATAAAAATGTTAGTTTTGTAGCGCGGGCGCCCTTGCGTCGTGAATGCATGTCCAGGGGGGCGTCGCTAGTAGTGCAAATGATCCGGGGCTTTTTTAGCCCTGCATGTTGAATCTTTTATTTTAACGGGGTCCGGGGGTTTCTCGAATTTTGAAACTTGGGCTGTTTAAGATGCAGTTAGTTTGTTTGAGAAGAAGAGGAAGACCGCTTAGATACGTTTTTTCGTTGTTGTTCTATGCGGATAATTTTCAAGAGGTTCATAGGCCAAGGCCCAAGGGCGACATCTGTTGGTGAAACTGCAATTAGAAAAAAAAAAAAACCACAATCTCAGTGTTTGTATATTTTCATATTCACAGAGTTGTCAAATTATTAGGGCTGGGAAAAGATGAATCGCATCCAAAATAAAAGTTTGTGTCTACATGATATATGTGTGTGTACTGTGTATAATTATTTTGTATATATAAATACACACACATATGCATGTATATATTTAAGAAATATTTGCATGTATATATATAATTATATATAATTTATATTATATATAAATTTAAATATTTTATATATAAATAACAAATATTTCTTAAATACATACATGCAAATGTGTATTTATATATATACAAAATAATTATACACAGTACACGCATATATCATTCATGTTCCAAATCTGTGTTTTTAGTAATTGTGGTGGTTTTTGGTATTTATAATTTTAACTTTTATATTATTTATTTCTTTTCATATTTGGTGCCATTGTTAATGTAAAACGATTTATTTGCAGCAGTTATTTTGGAAGTAAAGAGAACCTAACTAAGAAATTCGGAATGCTTGTTATTCCTTGGGTGGGTGGGTGGTTGGGAGTGGGGGGGCACCACCAAGCATTTGTGCTTAGGGCACCCAAATGGCTAGCGCCATTGCACTCACTCACTCACTCACTCTCTCTCACTCTCTCTCTCTCTCTCTCACTCACTCACTCACTCACTCACTCACTCACTCACTCACTCACTCACTCACACACACACACACACACACACACAGACACACACACACACACACACACACACACACACACACACACACACACACACACACACACACACACACACACACACACACACACACACACACACACACACACACACACACACACACACACAGGTAAACCTCTGGTCTGTCCTCTAATGGCACAGGATCATCCCTGGAGCTGCTTCAAGAGCCAATCAGAATTAGAGTTCGGAATCCTGCACCATAATGTCTTGCCCTGATTGGCTGGCTGGTAAGAACCAATCACTGACCTCCAGCACTGATGGTCTCTCACTGAGGTCATGCTTTAGTTTAGAGACTTGCATGTTTATATCTAATCCATAGTTTGATTATTTATTACAACATTTATGATTATTAGTAGGCTAACTGATTAACATTTTTCCAGTTAGCTCTGCATGACAAATTGTATATATTGGAGTGTGTGTGTGTGTGTGTGTGTGTGTGTGTGTGTGTGTGTGTGTGTGTGTGTGTGTGTGTGTGTGTGTGTGTGTGTGTGTGTGTGTGTGTGTGTGTGTGTGTGTGTGTGTGTTGTGTGTTTGTGTGTGTGTGTGTTTGTGTGTTTGTGTGTTTGTGCGTGCGCGTGCGTTTGCATGTGTGTGTATGTGTGAGTGTGTTTGTATACAATGCTACAACCTTCTTTAGGCACTAAATTTGTTCCTATAATTGAGTTAATACCTCTACGTTCCCAAATGTAAATAAATGAAGAAAAATTTGTCTTATTAGTAAACTTCAGACAGTGGCATGTTTTTATTTAGATTGTCAGGTAAACATGTGTTACTTAGCTATAGTTTAAAGACAAATTTCTCCTCAGAAGTGAACACAGCAACACACACACACACACACACACACACACGCACACACACACAAACACACACCATGTATTTTCATGTTTTATGGGGACTCTCATTGACATAATGACTTTTTACTGTACAAACTGTATATTCTCTCCCCTTACACTAACCCGACCCCTAAACCCATCACACACTCTCTCTCACACACACACACACACACACGTAGACGTTAAGAGATGTTTCATTAGTATGATCAATAAAGCAGAACTGTAAAGCCACAGATGTGAGTGAGCAGAAGCTGCTGTGCTTCAGAATCATGTTCGTGTCGTTTGGCTAATAGTCAAATATGAGCCTGTCCGGCGCTGACACATGTAAATCACCACATTAACATGAGGCTGTTCCCCAAACTACAGTGTGTGTACAGTCAGTTCAGTTCACAATGCATGAGAAGGATCAACTAAACACTATATTAAAAAGGAATTGTGTAAATAAATATCATACCATGTTAGTGACGGTGTGTCAGTGTCTATGATCTCCAATCTCTCAGAAACTGTTTCACACACACAAACATATTTATCTAGCTAAATATGGAGATGATATAGACTTACATGTGTGTGTGTGTGATGGGTTTAGGGGTCGGGTTAGTGTAAGGGGAGAGACTATACAGTTTGTACAGTAAAAAGTCATTATGTCAATGAGAGTCCCCATAAACATGCAAATATAATGTGTGTGTGTGTGTGTGTGTGTGTGTGTGTGCCACACCTTACAGAGACCCATCAATCACACAGCGATGAGAATATATACATAATCTTAATATTGTCCTACACTTGGTCCTTGTAATTATGCCTGTTCGTTATGATGCTCATTATGATCGGTTAACGACCAATCAGAGAACAGGGAACGTTCTCAGAACTACAGCTAACGTTCTGTCAAGGACGTTTTTTCTTTCATAAAGTCATAAAGTAATGATCAGATGTTCTTCCAGAAACGTTAATAGAACGTTTGTTTAAAGTTATCGGGTCTTTAATGATTTTCTCAGAACATTAGCACAAAAACAGTATTTATACATCATTCATGGAATGTTCTTCTGAAACGCTTTAGTTGGACGTTCGTCTGTTTTTTAAATGTTTCTACTGGTTTCGGAATGTTCAGAGATCATTTAAATGTAACGTTCTATGAAGAATGCTAAAATGGAATGTTCCCTTTATGTTCACATAACCAACAAAAAAAGTTTTTAAAATATTTAAAAAAAAACTGGACGTTTTGACCGTTCCGAGAACATTTAGAAATAACGTTTTCACAAATTAATGGGAACGTTTGCAAAGCGTTCTTAGAACATATTTTTATTAGCTGGGTTAATATTTAGGAAGATTTATGTATTTGAATTGCATGTAAAATTTCCACTCATTTTACAAACAAATGCATTTAATGGGATGCATATTTGTCAGTCATACATACATGAAACAGGTACGATTTATGTAACTAAATGTGTTTTAAATACACAATAACCAGAGTTATTTAACTTAATTTAATGTTAACTTTATTTCAAGTAACAAAAATCATTTTAGTTTTAGTTAACCATTATATATGTCTTCATTAAATATAATAATAATGAATAACCATTATAATATATATATATATAGTATTATACTATATATTTATCATTAATAAATCCAGTTTGTTCACAGCGAGCCTGAGATGGTAATCATGTTGATACTTTTTAACTGATTAAATGTAATTGTTTTCACGATGAACAGATTTATACTGATTCTTAAAAAATGCATTTTGAAAAAAAATATATATTTAAATAAAACCAAATAGATGCAAATAGCTACTAATAAACTGCCATGATTTCTTTGAGTGCAGAAACTTCCATTCATGTGACAGACACATAATCCAAACGAATGGAAATTCGATATGCAATTAAAAATGCATACATCTTAAATGTGGACTTAGACATATGTGCTAGTACTCTGTTGTTGGGTTGTGTGTATGCTTGGGTTGTGTGTATTGGGTTGTGTGTATGCTGAGAGCTGGGTGGGTCCGGGACGCTCTTCACACTCATTTGCAATGCATATGGAAGGCTGGACGTCCTGCCGGCTCGTTTCAGTGAGTTTTACCAAACTCGTCATTCTAACTGGGGACAATGAGTTGAAGCGTTAGACCAAAATGATTCGAACCCGTCCCACGCTACAGGAACCCGATATCAAAGAGTATCTCGTGAAGGGAGACAGGTTCACAAAATGGAAAGAAGTAAGTCAACATGAGCATATTCTGGACATTCACAACCGGGGCTTTTGGACCTGAATCTGATAATGATCTGATTTAAATTATTATGTGACATCAGTGATTCTTTGGGGGAATATTTGTCAGTCTTTAATGAAAACGGGTCTATTTATAAACGTTTATGGACCATTTATGATTTTATATTCGTCACAAGCCTTCATTTGTAGCATGAGAATCGAATTTTACAATCAAATCTCTTGACAGGACTCCAAGAAAACCACTCCGGTCACCATGAAGATGGACCCCAAGGGCTTCTACCTGTACTGGGTCAATCAGAGCAAGGTCAGATTCAGCAGCAGCAGTTTATGCTGCATGCATTACTAGTTTATTATAATAATAATTCTATTCTGTGGGGTCTTCTTATGTCAGGTGGACCCATATCTCAATGTTTTGTTGAGAATATTTCACCTGTTCTTTATGCATTTCAGAGATCCTTCTCTTTGTTTTACGTGTTTTTACTTTTTATTATTATTCTAAATCATGTACCTGAAGTCTCGCTGTGATAGTAATACCACAGTGTTTTGACATATATCATGATACTGAAGGATTGCCATATTATTTTACCGCAGTATTTACATGGTGCTTCAAAGAGCACAGTCATACTACTATGGTAAATGTCCAGAACCCACAGTATTACCGTAGTACAGTGTTAAAACGAGTCATCTAGTCATGTAAATCACTTGTCGAAAAGAATTTCATTAAAGGACAATAAAGTATAACTCTGAGGTCAATTCTATTTAACTTTACAGCTTTACTTAAAAATTATAGTTTATTTTATATCACATTATAATTGTAAAAAATGATGTGCTTTTGCCATTTTTATTACATTAAAAAAAAAAAAACATTTTTATTTAGCTTAATTTTTTCAGTTTTAGTACTTCAACTATGTTTTATTTTGGTTATTTAGCAAGGCAACAACTATCATATTAAGTTTAAGTGTTTCGTATAATATTATTTCATCTTTATTACTACAAGAATTATTTTTTAATAGATTTAGTTTTAGTCAACAATAACACTTGATATCATAGAATATAATATATTTACTATATAATTACTATATAACACTGTAGACAACAGCATGTGATTTGTAAGGTCTTGTTTGCAATTATTCTACAATAATTGTACAAAAATGTTTATTTAATGGTATGTTGAAAACATATTGTTTACACTCTAAAAAATGCTGGGTTGTTTCAACCCAAATTTGGGTAAAATATGGACAAACCCAAATGTTGGGTTAAAATGCAATTAAAAATGTACAGTTGAAAGTAAAAGTTGAAGTTGGGTTAAAATTTTAAATTACATTTTTAACCCAACATTTGGGTTTGTCCATATTTTACCCAAATTTGGGTTAAAACAACCCAACATTGTTTAGAGTGTATGCATTACAGATTGTTTACATTTAATGCATTTGGCAGATGTTTTTTATCTTACAATACAGTGAAGCTATGTGTGATTGTTTAATGCATCCTCTGGAAATCAAACCCATGACCTTGGCGTTGCGAACATCATGCTTTAGTTTGAGCTACAGACATTCATAGGCATTTTTATCACATGTATATATTTTACATTTTAATATTTAAGATTTGTTTTACAACCTCCTGCCTATTATGCCTAAAACAGCATCATCCAGATAATATTCATTAGAGACGCAGACGTGTGTGTGTGTGTGTGTGTCACAGAGAGTAACACACATGTGAGCTGTCAATCAAACAATATCGCAAAAAAAAAAAAGTTTATTCTAGTCATAAAATCCAGTGTTATTTTAGTATCATTTATCTGTACATTTGATAATTTCATGCATTATTTGGGAATCGAACCCTTGACCTTGGCGTTGCGAACATCACGCTAGTTTGAGCTACAGAAATTCCTGTTATTGCTCTGATCCTGTTCTGTGCTTTACCTGTGATGTCATTTCCTGTGTGTTTCTGTCCTGCAGGAAACAGAGTTTTTGGACGTCTCCACCATCAGGGACACGAGAGCTGCAAAATATGCCAAAGTCCCGAAAGTATGTGCCGTATCATGTTACGTAATGCGTGTTGTGTTGCCTGAACAGACCTGGCCTTTGAGAGTCAGTATTTGTGTGAATTTGCCTTGCAAACAGCAGCGTTCAGCGTTCATGCCAGAAACACACACTTACACAGCAATCATAACTCATCTCCAGATCACAAACAACTACAGAGATTGAGCATTAAAATATGAAAATACTGATCATCCTTCTCACAAAGTTACATTTATGCATTACGCAGATGCTTTCATCCTAACCGAGGAGCATTTCTGACACGCACATTTTAAAACACTATTAGAAATGTAAACAGAATATTATTGATATTACATTTGATGTATTGATATCATTATATAAGTGAGTCTGGCTCCATCACACACAGCTGTTGGCCTCGTGTGTCTCCCTTCACTCATTTGCATGTAGCCGGATTTGTTTGCCGGTCTGGGTTGCTGATGTATGGAAAGCAGACGTTATGGATGAGATGTTTGACGTTACTGGAGCTTTCACTCTTTCTTAAGCATCGCTTGCTTTGATATTTTGATATCTGATGCAGTGATCTTCAGAGATATAAAGTGTCCAGGTAATTTTAAGTAACTTTTCATGTTCTTAAGTATTATGACGTATGATTGTTTTACTCTTTCAGCATCCAAAAGTGCGTAATGTGTTCAACATGGACTTCCCTGACAGTCATCATCTGGCCAAAGCGCTGACCATCGTCACCGGCGCCGACACCGTCAGCCTCACGTACCACAACTTCTTTGCTGCAAAAGAAGTGGCCCAGGTATTTTTATTCATTTTAAAACAATAATCACATACTTTTAAAACATCCCTGTTAAAAAGTCAAATAAAAAAGTAAAATGAAGTAGATTACATTACAAAGTACATTATAGTAATAGTTTTGGGTCGGTACGTTTTTTTTTCTTTCAAGATTCATTAAATTGATCAAAAGTGATAGATAGATAGATAGATAGATAGATAGATAGATAGATAGATAGATAGATAGATAGATAGATAGATAGATAGATAGATAGATAGATAGATAGATAGATAGATAGATAGATAGAAAGATAGATAGATAGATAGATAGATAGATAGATAGATAGATAGATAGATAGAAAGATAGATAGATAGATAGATAGATAGAAAGATAGATAGATAGATAGATAGATAGATAGATAGATAGATAGATAGATAGATAGATAGATAGATAGACAGATAGATAGATATACAGAAAGATAGACAGACAGACAGACAGACAGACAGACAGATCTATAGGCTGTAACTAGATAGATAAACAGAAAGATAGATAGATAGATAGATAGATAGATAGATAGATAGATAGATAGATAGATAGATAGATAGATAGATAAACAGAAAGATAGATAGATAGATAGATAGATAGATAGATAGATAGATAGATAGATAGATAGATAGATAGATAGATAGATATACAGATAGATAGATAGATAGATAGATAGATAGATAGATAGATAGATAGATAGATAGATAGATAGATAGATAGATAGATAGATAGATAGAAAGATAGATAGATAAACAGAAAGATAGATAGATAGATAGATAGATAGATATACAGAAAGATAGATAGATAGATAGATAGATAGATAGATAGATAGATAGATAGATAGGTAGATAGATAGATAGATAGATAGATATACAGAAAGATAGATAGATAGATAGATATATAGATAGATAGATAGATAGATAGATAGATAGATAGATAGATAGATAGATAAGCAGAAAGATAGATAGATAGATAGATATACAGATAGATAGATAGATAGATAGATAGATAGATAGATAGATAGATAGATAGATAGATAGATAGATAGATAGATAGATAGATAGATAGATAGATAGATAAACAGAAAGATAGATAGATAGATAGATATACAGAAAGATAGATAGATAGATAGATAGATAGATAGATAGATAGATAGATAGATAGATAGATAGATAGATAGATAGATAGATAAACAGAAAGATAGATAGATAGATAGATATACAGAAAGATAGATAGATAGATAGATAGATAGATAGATAGATAGATAGATAGATAGATAGATAGATAGATAGGTAGATAGATAGATAGATAGATAGATAGATAGATATACAGAAAGATAGATAGATAGATAGATAGATAGATAGATAGATAGATAGATAGATAGATAGATAGATAGATAGATAAGCAGAAAGATAGATAGATAGATAGATATACAGAAAGATAGATAGATAGATAGATAGATAGATAGATAGATAGATAGATAGATAGATAGATAGATAGATAGATAGATAGATAGATAGATAGATAAACAGAAAGATAGATAGATAGATAGATAGATAGATAGATATACAGAAAGATAGATAGATAGATAGATAGATAGATAGATAGATAGATAGATAGATAGATAGATAGATAGATAGATAGATAGATAGATAGATAGATAGATAGATAGATAGATAGATAGATAGATAGATAATGATCTCATGTTTTCAGTGAATGAATGAATTTATCAGGACGAATGTTCCATTCAAATCAGCCTCTGGTCATTGTGGTTAGGAAATGAGTTTATGAGTTTATGATTTTCATATCCTGCCACCAATAACCTGCAGTGCAGATCAGTTGTGTGTGTGTGTGTGTGTGTGTGTGTGTGTGTGTGTGTGTGTGTGTGTGTGTGTGTGTGTGTGTGTGTGTGTGTGTGTGTGTGTGTGTGTGTGTGTGTGTGTGTGTGTGTGCCTCAAAGCACTGGTGTGTGTCACACGCCCTCTGGTGGATGAACCTAATGAATCTATACACACATCTGACTGAA